AGCGTGCGCACTCGCGCGAGCGTGCGAGCCGGATCCGGCCGAACAGGTGACTGACTTTGGCCTCAGCAAGATCATGAGGCCAAAATTGCTGGATCCAGATTTGTTGCTTGGTTTGAAAGGACCCGAGGAAGGACCTCTTGTGTGTGTATACGTGGTGTTGAACAGTTGCTTTTGGGTGGTATGGAGGGTAAGTAGTAACTAAGTAGTAGTTAACTGAGTCAACTCGGAAGCTAAGCCAGGCCCAAAGAACCCCAAAACCCTGCTATAAAAAGCAATTGCTTCGTAGATGGCGAATGATGGGGATATGTTGCCAAGTGGCAGCCTCAATCTGTGAGGCTGCCACTCATTCGGACCACTGACACCGCTCAAGAGGGATGGGCGGTTGGACCTTTTTGGCTACTACGCCTGTTAGCCATTGGTCAGGTGTCGACTGTAAGCTTTGAGGCATGAAAGATGCCAACCGCGTTGAGATCCACCTTGGCCAAATAAGAAGAGAAGCGGTTAAGCATGACCAACCCTCCATCATCATACTTGGGCATGCATCATAGAGCCGTTACGATTATATAAGTCAACATGTTTTGTACGCTCATGTCTTGGTCGCGTGTCACCTGCACTGAACGCATGCTCATGGAGCGCAACGCTCGACCTGAGGAAGGATATCTCACCAGCGCCCAACATGTCTGGTGGCCTTACCCTCGGGATTCACAATCACTCCCACGATATGCCGCCTATTTTCCTGACTGCAAGTTAGCAAAGGGCTTCAAACGTTAAGTCGTCAACAGAAAGGAGGAATGCTTTTTTTTGAATTATATATATATATTGTTTTTGTACAATCTTGATATGGCAAGGTGTTGGAACTTATCGATACATGGCTCCCGAAGTGATTCGCTACGAGCAGTACACGGAGTCGAGCTCAGATGGTTTGTGGCGAAAGCGCCAAACAAGTAGGCGACACATTTCCCAAAGACCTAGTCGAAGTTGAAACAAGTTGAAAAGGATGGACAACCAACTCATTGCTTGGTGGCCGACGCAGATCAGTATTGCTCCAGCTAGATCTGCCGACACCGTGGGCACTAAAACAACATCATGGGCGTGTACCGACACCTCGCGAACCGAGAGGAAACAACCGATTCTCAACATGGCAAGGACAAGATCGACATCTACGCCATGGCCTTGATTATGTATTATATTCTATCAGGTCAGTTTAGTCAAGCGATTTGAAGCAAGGGGAATGGGGTGGAACAGGCGATTGATGGTGATTGCATGGAAAGATCTTTCCAGCAAAGCAATCCTCAAACATGATATGCACTTTGGAGCACACCAGTCTGACCTAAGAGCGGCAACTCTTATCGTCCCTTGTTCCTGGCATTTTCTACCATGCTTGGGGTTTTGGATTGTTTCAGCTGTGGCAATGGGGAGTGAGTGGGGTACAACCGGAAAGACATGTTCGCAGGCAGAGTGCCGTTCTATGATCAATGCGCTTGACTCAGGGCGTCATGGTTGGGTGAGAAGATCGAAAGACCATGTGTGCGCATTTTCGTACGTCATAGGGACAGCTTCGGATTCTCAATATCATCTCGAAAACATTTAGGTGGGTGCTTGAATTGACATGCAATCACCCTCTCGAACATTCAATATCCTTGTGTTCTCCTTGTGTTGCCAAGGCGGTTCGGAGCCGGAGAAGATTCTGCAGGCTGGACGAGGGCAGGAGACAAGTCCCTTCACGTTCTCCAAAGGGACCTACTTCTGGTGACAAAGCGGGTCAATTTGTATACTAGATATTCACCAGAGATGAATCGCACATGTTCATCGCGGATAGCTGTCAATTCTTTTTTCTCTCTCTCTATACATACACTGCATATTCATATATTGATTGATTTATTAAACAAAAACGTGTTAAACTTGCGGTAGGATGAAACTTGCGGTAGGATGGACTCCAGGATGGACAAAAGCCATCATGATTGGATGGAGATGGTCACCTCATGAGATTAGGAATCAAACAGGCTGATATGCTTTGAGGAGTTGCTAAATACATCTAAATACGAACTCACACAGATCTTAAGAAGGGACAGCTCCAAAACAAGCGGCTGTCTTTCAAAAAAGCATTTCTTGGGAGTCCTGGGAGTCAATGGAATGGACAGCTGACAGCATGGCCTGTCATGGCCTGCCCACCTTTGGAGGCCTATATTCGTCGTGAAGAGCCGCGGCCAACTTTGAGCTCGTCGATTGCGACTGCTGAGTTGCTTGGAGTTACCCAGAGTTTCGCCCTGTGTCTTTTTTTCCAATAGTTTTGATTTTTCAGGGAATCAGAAGGACATCGCAGGCATTGCTTCGGACACAAACAGATTTCAATACGCATCAAGACCTGAAGTAGATACTATGATGTGGATCGTTTCTTTGCTTTCATCCTCTCAGGTTGCGGCAATTGATGATGGATGTTTCTTGGATGAAGATGCAAAGCATTTTGTTTGGTTTTTGAAGGGTTTCAAAGGCAGGAGAGAATGAACCTGAGCCTTTTGACGACAAAATTGCTCAAGATGTGCAAGTCTAAAGTGGAGGACTTTCCCCTCAGATTTTCTTGAGTGAGGGACCGTAGAGCATCGTAGAGCCATTTGACATGAGAGAGTACGGAATACGTGTATTCTCTCGAGTAGTTTGCTCAAGGCTCACAGCTCATTTCAGACCCAGCATGGCTTCCAGTGTGCTGAGGCATGGGCCATCGACGCAATTGACAGGCTCGTACTTGATGTACTCGTATCACGACAACTGACAGGGCACTCAGGGCTTCCCAGTCAATGATGGGTGATCATTCATTCACCAGACATAAAGCTAGCTGGCAGCCAGGGCGGTTTCAGTCCAGTCTAGAGGCCTTCAGCACAAGACTGCGTGGAGCGCTTGTTGAAAATTCCGAGTACGAAGCACAAAATGTTCAGCTCTTAGTCCAGGTTGGCAACCAGACTGGAGATTTGCTTGTTCCCAAAACAATCAATGAAGTAATGAAAGTCATCCATTGAAACTTGACACTGTCTGAAAAGAGAAAGCCGGATGTGAGCATGGGTAGTTGTTTCTCAAGGAAATAGATTCAGATCAGTTACAGCACATATTATATTTTATTGTATTATAGCGGAATTGGGGCGCCGTCCCAAGGTTTGGCCTCTTCTGAGCAAATTGAAATTGTTGCACCTGCTGACGTTTTGAAGAAGCGTTGGCACACTTGCACAGGTTGGCAGCCCGATTTTGCGAGCTTGTCACGAGTACCGTTTAAACTACCGATGCTGAAGCGTCCTGTTTCTATTGTGACAACAACTTTTTTTTCAGACAAGATCTGGCTGCCCATAAAGCTTCACACGTCCTAACTTTTAGAATCCGACATCGTCCCTGTCCCTTTGCAACTCTTTCCTGTGGAATGACGCATGGGGGATGATTGCATGAGTCAATCATGTTTGAGTATTTGCCGCTTGTGCTCCTTGCCGCAATGATGGCTACCCAAAGCGCTCGTGGACTCTTGGCCGGAAAAGCGGCATGTTTCCCGCAGCCCAGCAATTTTTGCAGAACTGCGGGTTGTTTGCAGAGCGACCGATGTTGGCCCTTTTGTCAAGCTTTGCGGAAGGCTAACTGCTAACGTTGCCGGTTTTGGCCGGTCTTTTCAGGTTTGCGCAGAGCGCTGGAGGCGCTCGTTGAGCAACCCGACATGGCCAGTTTGCTCGTTGCAACCAGTTTCATCCGGCTGCTGGACAACTTTTGAAAGCCGGGGTGCAAGAAGCATCAGCGACACATTCATCTTGAAGCTCAGGATTCCAAGCAACGATAAAGGTGGGTGTCTATTGGAATAGGGAGACGGGAGACCCTCCTAACCGATTGAACTCCCATTTGACCTCTTTTGGCACCCGATTCAGCAGCCAGGGCCATGGTCGAGCATCTGTCCCAGGAAGTCTGGAAATACCAGAAAATGCCTTGGAGATTGGCTGGCTGCGCCCGGATTGAGCCTTTTCGCGCAAGGAAAGCCTTTCCAAGCTCCTAGCTGGGATACGTGTGCTCAGGCCAGAAACAGACTGGCCCTTTGCTGCCCCAGATCTGGCATTTGTTCACATGCCTTTTCAACGCGCGCAAAACTGAGATACACTCACTAAGCAAAATTATCTCTATTTAGTTCACGTAGCGTGATGTGTTCCAGGCGCATTTGAAGCAGATTCTGGTTCTCTTGCCCCGTTGCTTTCTGAAAATGCTGCCGACCTGACAGACACAAATTACGTGGACAAGTATGCCATAGTATGCCCTTTTTCTTCCTCTTACACACACACACACTCTCTCTCTCTCTCCCTCTCTCGATCTTGGTGCAAAAGTTCAAAATGCAACGGAGGATACGCCGTTTCGCGACTTAAAGGTCGCCAGTCGCATAATTCATTCTCCAAGCCATTTGCTTTTATTGCAAGGGGCTGTCTTCCTCGGGGAAGCAGGAACGCTGCCTCGGCAGAAGCACAGCATTTTCCTGACGATGCAGCATTTGGTGTCGAAAGACAGCGCTGGACGGGCCAGTGGAATCTACAGTGGATCGAGTATGTGTGATTTTGCCAGCTACAGCTACATGCATGCCGCAAATGCTGCGGCAAAAAACTCTTGAGGCAGTAGGCTGAAAGAAAACTTTTCTTTTCCTAATCTTCTGGTGGAGGAAACGATTGGAGCTGGAGATTGCCAGACTGAAGCCAGACTGAAGCCCAGAGAGCGTTGATAAATTGGGAATTCAATATAGTAATATATTTCTATCATCTGAATCTGTATCGTGTTGCACTCCAAACACTAAGCTGCCTGCAACAGAGCCTGCGCTTTTCTGGCAGCTCTTGATTCATGACATCCGCAGCACAACTTTTGCAGAACATGTTAGTGGCAGTGGACAAGCGGAAGGAAGCTGGGAGATTGAATCTGCCAACATACACAGCAAATCCAAAATGATTAGACATGAATACTCTCCTTGGTATAGTATGTACTATGCTTGATTTGGAGGGCAGCTGGATTAGACAGTAGGGACAGCGGCTTTGTAACGCAGTGGGCGCATATGGGCAGTGTCCATGTGGAACTATCTCTTCAAGAGGAGTTGACAAAGCATTTCCAGCGGAGCTAATTGACTTGAAGACATTTGTAGCGGACATTGCAAAACTCAGTATTTGACTCGCTGGAGAGAGCACTCGCTTTTCTGAATGATGTTGCAAAAGGAGTTGGTGCTTTTGCAGACATTTCACATTTCTGCAAATGCAGGAACAATGGCAACGGCACTAGCTATAGGTCCCTGGAGGTGACTTTAAGCAGGGATTTCAGTCTCGCAGACGAAGTGTCTTGGTCTGCATGTGCATCATGTGCCAACGACATGTCCTTCTGGCCCACCTCACGGCGGCTCCCCTTAATATGTTGGAGGCCATCGCTACTAGGTTGCTACAGTACTAGGTTGGAGGCCATCGCTACTAGGTTGGAGGCCATCGGCTGGAGGCCATCGCTATACTAGGTTGGAGGCCATCGCTATACTCGGCTGGAGGCCATGGCTATAGGCTGGAGGCCATCGCTATACTAGGCAGGAGGCCATCTCTATACTAGGTTGGAGGCCATTGCTATACTAGGTTGGAACGCCATCGCTATATTAGGTTGGAGGCCATCGCTATACTAGGTTGGAGGCCATCAGTACTAGGTTGGAGGCCATCGCTACAAAGTTGAGGCCATCGCTACTAGGTTGGAGGCCATCGCTACTAGGTTGGAGGCCATCGCTATTCGGTTGGAGGCCATTGCTACTAGGTTGGAGGCCATCGGTAGTAGGTTGGAGGCCATCGCTACTAGGTTGGAGGCCATCGCTATTAGGTTGGAGGCCATTGCTACTACGTTGGAGGCCATCGCTACTACGTTGGAGGCCATCGCTACTAGGTTGGAGGCC